GGGTCGGGTCGGGCTGGGTGGGTTACTTTTCTAGCTTTAGCTACCAGCCCTCACTACAGTACATATCATCTTTTGTTTTCTTCAGTTTCCTGTAAATAGAACACTCTAAAATTCAGCCATTACATGAGCCCTGCCTGTTTCTTGCTTCTAGCATTTTGCATAACATTAAGCATATTTAATCAACTTTCTTCTATTAGTTAAATGGGTTCTCTTCATTCTGTCTATGAAATTATGTTCTTAACATATGCAATTTCAGGAAAAGGCTGCATAAAGCATATTAATCAGTTTTTGGGGTGCAACTCTCTTTGAATTAATAATTATGGAGTTACAATCAACACACTGACTTCAAAGGAATAAAAGATAAAAGATTTCTATTTTCTTTTGTAATAATTAATTCACAAAATTAACAGCCAAGAAGATGTGTTAAATAAGTGAAGTATGTGACATCGTTTGGCCAGAGAAAAAACATTGTCGTTTTGCCTATTAGTCCAAATCAATCACAGCCATCAAGTTAAAGAGAATCTGACGGCTCCAATCAATCACAAGTCAACAGTATAAAAGGGGAACCTTTTCACACATTTTATGAAAGATTTGTCAAATTAAATTAATATCAATAAAAAATAAAAATAAAAATCTGGTTAAGTTTTAACATTAAATGGGAATAAAACAATAAGCAAAGAATTTTAGATAATAAATTTTTTTTAAAACAATAGTTGGATTGTGAAATTTATTTTGGATAAATTACAGTGAATTATTCTATTTTTATAAAAGTTTAATCAAGAACAGGTCTCTTCTACTTATAGGCTGGAGAATCTTAGTTGTAATTGCTTTGATTCACACTCTAAAACGATATGTTGCTAAAGGTTGTTGAAAAAATTTGTGTTATTTAATGTGGGTGGTCAATGTATTTTTATACTGTTTCATTTTTCTCCTACTCATAATCACCTATGTTAACACTATTCCCAAGACTATATAGATAAATTAGGAGTTAACAGCTTATGACACTTCTTATCCACAGGATTTTAAAACATCATTTTATCATCCAAATATATTCGACGACAAACAAAAGAGCAAACTTGATCCAGTGTTAGATTTTTAAAGAGGGGAAGCCGATGCGTCTTTTGGTGGTAGAATGTTGCATTTTGGGGATTGGGAGGGACGGTTCTGCCACTAATTTTGCTCAATTGCCTGCAATTGGCAAGGTTGACGAGAGTAGGGTTTGAGGGATTTTGATAAGGGATGTAGGACAGAGAATGGTGGGTGTGAGATCACAACGATACTGAAATCGGAAATGAAATATAAATTGAGTATTAAAGTGACATTTTAAAAGTTTTTGGGTGAGAAAGTGTAACTAAACCATTATTTGTGGGAAAAAGTCCTTTTTTTTTTTTTTTTTTTTTAATAATCGAGGATATCCTGACCAGCTTGCATACACCTCAACTAATTCATTGGGACCTTGAAATGACTGACTGGGTAAATTCTTTAGTGGTTACCCCTATGTTTGGATCTCATTTGTGTTTTTATCATTGGGGCACATAGCGATGGTTGGTGGGAAAAAGTTGTTAACTCTGAAAATTGGTGCTTAGTATTTTGGTCTTGTGAAGAAGGTGGATAGTGGCAACCACTGGGGAGACAACACGGCGACATGTGTCTCCTCGTCAGCTCCAGGTTTCTAACATGGAAAAAAGTAGTTACACTGGCGACATGTGTCTCCAAATAATGGTTTAATGACACTCACTTACTCATGGACTTTTAAAACACCATTTTACAATAAATTTATATTTCGGTGACAGATAAAAGTAAACTTGGTCTAGGATATTGGGGCTTTTAAGAGGGGAGGTCTATGAGTCTTTTGTGGTAGAAGGTTGAATCTTGGTGGCTGAATTGATTGAAATTTGACTTGGCAGGGCAATTGCGTAAACCCTAATTGCTCGATTGTCTGCGATTTGCGAGGTCAGCGAGAGTAGGGTTTTAGGGGTTTTGATGAGTGATGATCAAGAAAATGATGGTTGTGTGGGGTCCACACGATGTTGAAATCGAAAGAATATAAATTTGGATAATAAAGTGATATTTTAAAAGTTTGTAGTGAGAAAATGTAATTAAATCATTATGGGTGAGAAAAATCTTTTTTTTTTTTTTTTTTTTTTTTTTTTTTGGTGAACCAGGGCATTTGGGCCAGCTTACAATTTTTATTATTCTTGACTTTGTGTCATCTAATCAAATTAATTGCTTTTACATGATGTTTGGAATTGGTGACCAAGTCTTGCAACTAGCCGTGCTCACTGCTCACAAGACCAAGACTTACGACTAGCCGCGTTCACTGCTCTTCAAGGCCAAGACTTGATGGACTAAATTTTTAATATATAAAATAGACTTATGGGCAAAGATATCATCTCTAATTTTCATTTCTCTCAACAGTCATATGCATCTTTCAATTTCTTCGGTTTTCTGTAAAGAGAAAAGGATGTGGGGGTCTTATGGCACTGTCTAATTCCCTGCCTCTTCTTATTTTTCTCACATTTTCAAGCTATCAGTCTTTTACTCCATCGCAAAACTTTGCCCTCCTAAAGAAAGCTCTGCGTTACTCCTTTCAAGAACTCAATTTCAGTTGTATCTTCTGCTTCTACATTTTGTGGATATGCCTCTTCTAGTTCTTATCCTAGGACAGAACCTGGAATAAGAGCAGTGATTGCTGCTCATGGGATGGAATCACTTGTGATAGGTTCACAGGTCATGTGATTGGCCTCAATCTTGGCTCTAGTGGGCTTGTTGGTTCTATTCACTCTAACACAGCAGTCTCTCTTGCTTCACCATCTCCAAAAGCTAATTTAGCTTGTAATGATTTCAGTGGATCCAAAATCTCTTCCAATTTTGGTGAGTTCATGAAATTGACACATCTCAATCTTTTCATCCAATTTCGATGGCCTAGTTCCCACTCAATCTTCACTTGTCTAAACTGACTTTACTGATCTGTCTTATATAATGACTTCGGGAACTAAAATTGAGCGAACATGGATTTCGTAAACTGTTGCAAACCTAACAGAGTAAGATATCTTCATCTGAAATATGTGAACTGTTCTTCAGCTGAAGCTATTCTTTGGTAAACCTATCTTCTTCATTGATATCGCTCAGGCTTGATCGTTGTTCGCTACAGGGCGAGTTCCCAATTATATTTCCAACTTCCTTTACTCCAAGCTATGGTTATCAGGAAATGAGGATCTCTTTGGTCGTTTACCAAAATCAAACTGGTAGTCCCCTCAGGTCTTTGGATCTCTCTCAACACTTTTTTCAGGAATGTGTACGACACAATTGGTAATCTAATATCTGGAATGGCTGGACCTTTCTGACTGCCTTTCATAGGATCACTTCCAACATCACTTTGGAACCTTACGGGAATCACTTTTTTGAATGTGTTCCAATGATTTTCTTGTCAAGTCTCGGGATTGTTATCAAACCTTGGCCAACTCAATCATTTAGATTTTCTGCAAACAATTTTCACGCAGTTTCCTGATGTTTTGGGAACCTGAGCAAGTTAATTGTTGGACATGCTGGTGCAAATAATTTCACTGGTTATTTGCCTCCATCAGCATTCAATCACATTCAACTTTCAGAATTAGATTTATCTATAGTCATTCGAGGGCCACTTCCACAGGTTAGTCATCTTTTATATTTGACTGACAGAATACCATCTTTGGGTTCCTTAAATCTTAGCAACACACAACTCTCGGTCCAGTTTCAAATTCCTCTTTGAACATGCAAACCTTAATCTCGACCTTTCATCGATAAATTGAGCGGCATTGTGAAGTCGGAGAAGTTTTCAAAGCTCAAAAATCTCATAGTTGTAGACCTTTCGCATAAATGACCTTCTGACGTTAAAAGTGATATGGTTGACTTCAGCTTGCCCAAGCTAAGGGGATTTATGTTTTCTTCTTGCAACCTAACTGAATTCCCTATTTTCTAAGAAACCGAAAAGTTTGATATTTCATTGATGACAAACCTGCGATTCTGAACTTCAATCCAACTTGCTCAAAGGATCACTTATGGTTCCACCAACCTCTGTGATTACTTTTCAGTTTCAAAGAACAATTGACCGGACGAATCCCTAATCTCTTTTGCAATTTGAGCTTATTCAACTCTTGACTTGTCTAATAACAGCTTCACTGGACAAATTCCACAATATCTAGAAAACTATAATATCTCTTGTTCTTGAACCTGCGAACAAATAACTTCCATGTCACATCCCTTCATTCCTAGATTGTCCTTTTGAATATCTTAATCTTAATGGCATCGATTGAATGGATCGTTACCACCCTCTTGGTAATTGTAATGACTTACATTTTAGATGTTGGGAATAACGGATAAATGATACATTTCCTCATTGGTTAGGAGTCTTCCAATTGCAAGTTGTTGTCTTGAAAAGTAATAAATTTCATGGTCCATTGAATAGTCAACAACAAGATTTCCCTTCACAGTTACAAATACTTGTCTCTCTCACAATCAATTTACTTTGTGCCAATAAGATATTTTGAAAATCTGAAGCTTCATGCGTGAGATAAAGGTAGTCTGAAGTTGAATTGAGTGGACATCACACGGGGTCATTCGGGGCCAGGTTTTGAGTATTATTCAATGGTTTTGGTGTTTAAGGAGTTACTATGGAATTGAGAGAATTCTATCCATTTAAGCAGCCATGGATTTGTCAACAACCAATTCCGAGGATCATTCCAGAAATAGTTGGAAAGTTCAACCACTCAAACTTCTAAACTTTCTAACAACATCCTTAGTGGTCATATTCCATCATCATTGGGAAATTTGACAAAATGAATCATTGGATTTGTCTTCAATAGGCTTGTTGGAGAATTCCCAACAGTTGGCAAGTTTGACATCTCTTGCAGTGTTAAATCTTCCATACAATCAGCTTATGGGACCTATACCTGAAGGTCTCATTTAATACATTTTCAAATGATTCATACATTGGAAACTTGGGATTGTGTGGATTTCCAATGTCGACAGAATGTAGCAGTGATAAGCCAATTGAACCACCATCAGCAATATTTCCTGAAATGACAATGTCCAAGCTGGTTTGATTGGAAAATCGCCATAATAGGTTATGGAAGTGGGTTGGTGATCGGTTTGTCATTGGATATATTGTATTCACAACGAGGAAACCAAATAGCTTATAAGGATGGTGGAAAGGAGGGACCGCCAATGTGAGAAGCTTGAACAGAAGACACCGAGGAAGAAGAAATCCATAAGTGCAAGAAGCCAAGAAGTGTTTGCGCCCATTATAAGGTAACTTTTTATATTCAAATATTAACTAACAAATTAACAAATGTAAAACCATAAGAATTTTAATTGACTTTGTTCTGGGCTTCTTGAATCACCATTCACTTTGGTGTCATTCATAAGGATATTTTTTCTCATACTTATAAATTACTTTCAGTTATTTTAGAAATTTAGACTGCCAATTAAGTTATCTAAATTTTAACCACAAGTATAAATTGTTCTTTTCATCTTCTGAACTATAATCATTTATTCTGAAACTATAATCATTTTATTTTTCAGACTTGAAGAGTTGTAACATATGGAATTGAAGTCTTTGGTGGAAGAGTGCAAGAAAAGTTAATCTACAAGTCTTTTGCATAAATAGGGAATCTTTTGTATCATCTTTATTAAGTTTGTGTGTTAGAAAGCAAGTATATATGTTTGAATATTCTATTTTGAATTCATGTCCTTTAAACTAAGACTTACAGATTTTCTTAAAAAATTTATTGTGTTCAGAGAGTAACAGCAAAACAATGTAAGCTAGAAGTAGTTTGCTTGACAACCAGGAATTAGATAGGGGGGGGGGGGTGGGGGGGGATTATAGGATACTGGGGGAAGGTTAGCATGATGCCACCTAAAAAATGTTTACATATTTTTGAATTGTATGAGGAATTTATTACTTGTGACTGAGTCACCTGGTTTTGCGGTACAGGCTGGAATTGCTCTTGGAGAGTTGCAGTCTCTTGGGGATCTTTATGATTTCAAATCCATGGCAACGCTTTTCTTTATCGGTGTTGTCTCCATTACCCCAACACTAGTAAGCAAGAGCCAATCATAGTATTCTGCTAGCTGGGGATTCTTGGTGTACATGGATGGGCCTTTCTTTCCACAGCAAATTGTGTTTCACTTTGTTTCTGTACAGATTTAGCTTCAAATAAATCAAGATGCAGCCATCTCTTCCGCTTGTAAAATTCATCGCTAGTGCTGCAGACACTGAAGATGATGACCTGGAGACGGTATTAGGCCTTACATGAAATCGATGCGACGATTAGTGTTTGCTTTTGTTAGTGTTGTTTGGTTAAGGTGACTAAAGGGTGTAGGAGGGAGGTTTGAGTATTTGTATAATTTCAGTTGAAATGGTTGGAAACAGGCTTCAACCTCTAAGCAGTTGTATATCAGTGTTACTAAATTTATTTTAGAAGACATTCTCTGTTACAGTGTTGTGTTTTCTGCACTTTGCTATGGTTGTAATTTCAAATTAGAAGTCATGGTGAAAACATGACTCCGTCCTCGGCGTTTACGAAGACACTCTCCACACCACTCTCACCCGCCAAAGACAACGCTCCAAGCTCACCAAAACCAACACTTGTTTTGATGTTCTCGCCGAGTCGAAGAGTGGCATTGCTAGTGCTTTGTACGAACGGCACTCGAATGTTGCTGGGTTATACAGGGTCCCGCTCGGTCTGGTGACTCATGCGTTGGACCGGAAGTTGAAGCAGAACAAGCGAAGTAAATGGTCAAAAAACCGGTTTTTGAAGAACCCAAACCCGATGACCCACAGATTGTTGTTTTGTCCTTTCTGAAGAAGGACCGCCAACCCGTCGGGTTGGCCCAAAAACAAATAAAAAAATTTTGCAAAATTTATTTCTTTTGTCAAATTACCCTTTTACCCTTAACATATAGTCATTTTATAGCTGTTAGAGGAGTCTTTTTCATCATTTTTTTCCCTCTTTTTTCTATAAATTGGCCCTAAACTCTCATATTTTTCTCACAACTCAAATTCTCTCATTCTCTCATATTCTCTAATCTCTCAATCTCAATTATTCATTTACTATCTTAATCTCTTTGTTATCAATTTGCTCTTATTTTAATTTTTATTAGTTTTTGCAATTTTCAATTCATATTTCCAATTTTCCAAATTCCAATTCTCTTTCTTTAATTTTTATTTCTTTTACATCATTTTTTTTTTCAACTACAATGGATAGATATTTCTCTCCCATCAATTTCAATGATGAAGGAAACTACTATCCTAGTCCTAGTCCCGCTGATTTTACTAACATAAATGCAGGAAATTCAAATAGTCCCGCTTTTCCAGTCTCAGAATCGGATACACCTCAAAATATGCCCCCGATTCCAATAGCTGCCGGTGGTTCTAGAAGTCGTCCTCGTAATCGTCGTCCTCGTCTAACTTCATCTCAAGCTGAGGCGGGTTCATCAACTGCCGTCGAAACTGAAGACAGGCACACATCAGACGTTTTGGCGTATTTCGACAAGTTTTACGAGGTAGAAAATGACGTTCAAGTTAAGAAAGCAAGATGCAAATATTGTGAAAATGTTTATAAAGCTAATTCAGGTAATGGTACTAGTACTTTAAAAAGACGTGCTAATAAATATATTGTTCAACATGGAAATAAAGAAAGCAATCAAACTCAAATAACTAATATGGATACTACTTGGCGTTATAATTCTGATGTATATAGGGAATAGTTAGCTTTATATATTGCTGCAACTGATCAACCTATTAATATGGCTGAAGATAAATATTTTGAAAGATTTATTAAAAACTCATTTTTTCCAGGATTTAAAAGTTATTCTAAAATTGCAACTGGAAATGATTTAATAAAATTGTTTAGAAAAATGAAATTAGAATTAAAAAAATAAAATACATAGTTGTCATGTTAGTGTGACTCTAACTGTCGATATTTGGAGTGGTAGAGCTAAAAAAGATTATATTTGTGTGACTAGTCATTATTTTGATAATGAATTTAAATTAAATAAATCCTTATTAGAATTTAGATTAATGGATGTAGATCATAGTGGTCAACAAATTTATAATAAAATTGTTGAAGTTTTAGAAGATTATGATGATAAGTTTAACTTTAGATAATGCAAGTGCTAATACTACAGCTATAGATTTTTTTAAAATTAATTATCCTTTTTATAATAATTTGAAGTTTTTTCACCAACGTTGTGTATGTCATATTATTAATTTAATTGTGAAAACTGGTATGAAAACAATTAAACAAAATATTGATAGAATTAGGGAATCTTTAGCTTGGATTACTAGTAGTAATAAAAGAAATGCTGAATTTTAAGACGCTTATATAAAATCAAATATATCTCCTAGAACTTTTGCATAAGACATGCCTGTTAGATGGAATAGTACTTATTTAATGCTTGATTCATGTTTACCTTATACTAATATAATTAGTTATTTTGTAGCAAATAATAGAGGTCCTCATTATTTGGTAGAAAATGATTAGCATATAGCTAAAGTATTTCATTCTTTTCTAAAAAAATTTTACCAATCCACTTTACAACTTTCTGGTGTGTATTATCTTACCAGTCCATTGGTAATACATACAATTATAAAAATTTCCGAGTTATTTACAAAAAACAAAGACAATGAAATTTTAAATGCACCAATAAAGGTAATGGAAATTTTTTTTTTTTTAAATATTGGGAACCCATTCCTTTTCTTTATTGTTTAGGTGCTATATTTGATCCTAGAATTAAATTAGCACGTTTAGAAAATGGTTTTGACAGTTTAAGTGAAAATTTACAAACCGAAGCATATGCCAATCAAATAAGAGAGGTAAAAAATAGTCTTTTCGAAGTATATTTCCAATATGAAAACAGGTATGGGAACCCGCAAAGAGGCGAAATATCTAGGGAAACTGCATCAGAAGAAACATTCTACTCTTGGAGTGCACTGAATAGGCTGAAGAGGACCTGAATCCGAAGCGTAGCCTCCTCTTCAGAAGCATCACCACCACCACCAACAACAACTAATATACTATCCTCCATGGAGTCGCAGAGTAATGAACTTCAACAATATTTGGCAACCCCTGAAATGTTACCAGCAGATCACTTTGATCTCTTAAAGTATTGGAGAGCCAGAAAATGTATTTTTCCGGTATTATCAAGACTTGCCTTGGATGTTTTCGCTGTTCCTGTCTCAACCGTCTCATCCGAACAAACATTTAGTGCAAGTGGAAGAATTTTAAATGAAAGGAGGACTAAACTTTCTCAGAAAATGATTGAAGTCCTCACATGTCTTCGAGATTGGGAACGATCGCGCCATCAAGATCAATACGAAGTTGTCGACAATACTTTAATAGAATCATTTCAATTTTGTAATATAGATAATACAGATGAGGGAGGTCCTAATGAACCACCCCCAAATTAGTTGTTTTGTAAAATGTAATTTGTAAATTAATTGTCAATTATTGCACTCTTTTTTCTTTACCAAGTTTTTCTCCCATTGGGTTTTTCTTGGTAAGGTTTTTAATGAGGCAATAATTGTTGTAATTTCTTATTTTATTTTTGGTAAATGAATAAGTCTAATTTTTCTTATATTACAATTTTATTGTATTAAAATTGAATTAATATTTGAAATGTTAATAAAAAAAAAATTAATTTAATTGAATTATTGATATTTGAAAAGTTAACTAAAAACAATTACATTTATAATTTATTCATTTATAAATTATTAATTATTTATTTGAAAAGTTAAATAAATAAATAAAATAGGGCTAACCCGGCCCGGCCCGCCGCCTAACCCCCGGGTTAGGGTTGGCAGGCCAGACTGGGCCCGCCATTTTCCCAAAAATGGCGGGCCTAACCCAGCCTGCCTATGTTGGCAGGCGGGTTAGGACCGACCCGCCTAATTGCGTAACCCGCCATGGGCCGGGTCGGGTCGGGCTGGGTGGGTTACTTTTCTAGCTTTAGCTACCAGCCCTCACTACAGTACATATCATCTTTTGTTTTCTTCAGTTTCCTGTAAATAGAACTCTTAAAATTCAGCCATTACATGAGCCCTGCCCTGTTTCTTGCTTCTAGCATTTTGCATAACATTAAGCATATTTAATCAACTTTCTTCTATTAAGTTAAATGGGTTCTCATTTCATTCTGTCTATGAAATTATGTTCTTAAACATATGCAATTTCAGGGAAAAGGCATGCATAAAGCATATTAATCAGTTTTTGGGGTGCAACTCTCTTTGAATTAATAATTATGGAGTTTACAATCAACACACTGACTTCAAAGGAATAAAAGATAAAAGATTTTCTATTTTCTTTTGTAATAATTAATTCACAAAATTAACAGCCAAGAAGATGTGTTAAATAAGTGAAGTATGTGACATCGTTTAGGCCAGAGAAAAAACATTGTCGTTTTGCCTATTAGTCCAAATCAATCACAGCCATCAAAGTTAAAGAGAATCTGACGGCTCCAATTCAATCACAAGTCAACAGTATAAAAGGGGAACCTTTTCACACATTTTATGAAAGATTTGTCAAATTAAAATTAATATAACAATAAAAAATAAAAAATAAAAAATCTGGTTAAGTTGTTATGAACATTAGAAATGGGAATAAAACAATAAGCAAAGAATTTTATGATAATAAATTTTTTTTAAAACAATAGTTGGATTGTGAAATTTATTTTGGATAAATTACAGTGAAATTATTCTATTTTTATAAAAGTTTAATCAAGAACAGGTCTCTTCTACTTATAGGCTGGAGAATCTTAGTTGTAATTGCTTTGATTCACAGTCTAAAACGATATGTTGCTAAAGGTTGTTGAAAAAATTTGTGTTGATTTAATGTTGGTGGTCAATGTATTTTTATACTGTTTTCATTTTTCTTCCTACTCATAATCACCTATGTTAACACTATTCCCAAGACTATATAGATAAAAATTAGGAGTTAACAGCTTAATGACACTTCTTATCCACAGGATTTTAAAACATCATTTTATCATCCAAATTTATATTTCGACGACAAACAAAGAGCAAACTTGATCCAAGATGTTAGGATTTTTAAAGAGGGGAAGCCGATGCGTCTTTTGGTGGTAGAATGTTGCATTTTGGGGATTGGGAGGGACGGTTCTGCAAACACTAATTTTGCTCAATTGCCTGCAATTGGCAAGGTTGACGAGAGTAGGGTTTGAGGGATTTTGATAAGGGATGATCAAGGAAGAGAATGGTGGTGGTGTGAGATCACAACGATACTGAAATCGGAAATGAAATATAAATTTGAGTATTAAAGTGACATTTTAAAAGTTTTTGGGTGAGAAAGTGTAACTAAACCATTATTTGGTGGGAAAAAGTCCTTTTTTTTTTTTTTTTTTTTTAATAATCGAGGATATCCTGACCAGCTTGCATACACCTCAACTAATTCATTGGGACCTTGAAATGACTGACTGGGTAAATTCCTTTAGTGGTTACCCCTATGTTTGGATCTCATTTGTGTTTTTATCATTGGGGCACATAGCGATGGTTGGTGGGAAAAAGTTGTTAACTCTGAAAATTGGTGCTTAGTATTTTGGTCTTGTGAAGAAGGTGGATAGTGTGCAACACACTGGGGAGACAACACTGGCGACATGTGTCTCCATCCGTCAGCTCCAGGTTTCTAACATGGGAAAAAGTAGTTAACACTGGCGACATGTGTCTCCAAATAATGGTTTAATGACACTCACTTACTCATGGACTTTTAAAACACCATTTTACAATATAAATTTATATTTCGGTGACAGATAAAGAGTAAACTTGGTCTAGGATATTGGGGCTTTTAAAGAGGGGAGGTCTATGAGTCTTTTGGTGGTAGAAGGTTGAATCTTGGTGGCTGGAATTGATTGAAATTTGACTTGGCAGGGGCAATTGCGTAAACCCTAATTGCTCGATTGTCTGCGATTTGCGAGGTCAGCGAGAGTAGGGTTTTAGGGGTTTTGATGAGTGATGATCAAGGAAGAATGATGGTTGTGTGGGGTCACAACGATGTTGAAATCGAAAATAGAATATAAATTTGGATAATAAAGTGATATTTTAAAAGTTTGTAGTGAGAAAATGTAATTAAATCATTATTTGGGTGAGAAAAAATCTTTTTTTTTTTTTTTTTTTTTGGTGAACCAGGGCATTTGGGCCAGCTTACAATTTTTTATTATTCTTGGACTTTGTGTTCATCTAATCAAATTAATTGCTTTTACATGATGTTTGGAATTGGTGACCAAGTCTTGCAACTAGCCGTGCTCACTGCTCTACAAGACCAAGACTTACGACTAGCCGCGTTCACTGCTCTTCAAGGCCAAGACTTGATGGACTAAATTTTTTAATATATAAAAATAGACTTATGGGCAAAGATATCATCTCTAATTTTCATTTCTCTCAACAGTCATATGCATCTTTCATTTTCTTCGGTTTTCTGTAAAGAGAAAAGGATGTGGGGGTCATTATGGCACTGTCTAATTCCCTGCCTCTTCTTATTGTTCTCACATTTTCAAGCTATCAGCTCTTTTACTCCATCGGCAAAACTTTGCCCTCCTAAAGAAAGCTCTGCGTTACTCCATTTCAAGAACTCAATTTCAGTTGATATCTCTGCTTCTACATTTTGTGGAGGATATGCCTCTTCTAGTTCTTATCCTAGGACAGAATCCTGGAATAAGAGCAGTGATTGCTGCTCATGGGATGGAATCACTTGTGATAGGTTCACAGGTCATGTGATTGGCCTCAATCTTGGCTCTAGTGGGCTTGTTGGTTCTATTCACTCTAACAGCAGTCTCTTCTTGCTTCACCATCTCCAAAAGCTTAATTTAGCTTGTAATGATTTCAGTGGATCCAAAATCTCTTCCAATTTTGGTGAGTTCATGAAATTGACACATCTCAATCTTTTCATCCAATTTCGATGGCCTAGTTCCCACTCAAATCTTTCACTTGTCTAAACTGACTTTACTTGATCTGTCTTATAATAATGACTTCGGAGAACTAAAATTGAGCGAACATGGATTTCGTAAACTGTTGCAAAACCTAACAGAGTTAAGATATCTTCATCTGAAATATGTGAATCTGTTTTCAGCTGAAGCTAATTCTTTGGTAAACCTATCTTCTTCATTGATATCGCTCAGGCTTGATCGTTGTTCGCTACAGGGCGAGTTCCCAAATTATATTTTCCAACTTCCTTTACTCCAGAAGCTATGGTTATCAGGAAATGAGGATCTCTTTGGTCGTTTACCAAAATCAAACTGGAGTAGTCCCCTCAGGTCTTTGGATCTCTCTTCAACACTTTTTTCAGGAATGTTGTACTACACAATTGGTAATCTAATATCCTTGAATGAGCTGGACCTTTCTGACTGCCAGTTCATAGGATCACTTCCAACATCACTTTGGAACCTTACGGGAATCACTTTTTTGAATTTGGGTTCCAATAATTTTTCTGGTCAAGTCTCGGGATTGTTATCAAACCTTGGCCAACTCAATCATTTAGATCTTTCTGCAAACAATTTTTCACGCGAGTTTCCTGATGTTTTTGGTAACCTGAGCAAGTTAATTGTTGGACATGCTGGTGCAAATAATTTCACTGGTTATTTGCCTCCATCAGCATTCAATCACATTCAACTTTCAGAATTAGATTTATCTGATAGTCAATTCGAGGGCCACATTCCACAGGTTAGTCATCTTTTATATTTGACTGACAGAATACCATCTTTGGGTTCCTTAAATCTTAGCAACAACAAACTCTCAGGTCCAGTTTCAAATTCCATCTTTGAACATGCAAACCTTACTAATCTCGACCTTTCATCGAATAATTTGAGCGGCATTGTGAAGTCGGAGAAGTTTTCAAAGCTCAAAAATCTCATAGTTGTAGACCTTTCGCATAATGACCTTCTGACGTTAAAAAGTGATATGGTTGACTTCAGCTTGCCCAAGCTAAGGGGATTTATGTTTTCTTCTTGCAACCTAACTGAATTCCCTATTTTCTTAAGAAACTCGAAAAGTTTGATATTTCATTGATGACAAACCTGCGATTTCTGAACCTTCAATCCAACTTGCTCAAAGGATCACTTATGGTTCCACCAACCTCTGTGATGTACTTTTCAGTTTCAAAGAACAAATTGACCGGACGAATCCCTGAATCCTTTTGCAATTTGAGCTTTATTCAACATCTTGACTTGTCTAATAACAGCTTCACTGGAACAATTCCACAATATCTAGAAAACTATAATATGCTCTTGTTCTTGAACCTGCGAACAAATAACTTCCATGGTCACATCCCTTCATTCCTAGATTGTCCTTTTGATTATCTTAATCTTAATGGCAATCGATTGAATGGATCGTTACCACCCTCTTTGGTTAATTGTAATGACTTACAAGTTTTAGATGTTGGGAATAACAGGATTAATGATACATTTCCTCATTGGTTAGGAAGTCTTCCAAAATTGCAAGTTGTTGTCTTGAAAAGTAATAAATTTCATGGTCCTATTGAATAGTCAACAACAAGATTTCCCTTCACTAAGTTACAAATACTTGATCTCTCTCACAATCAATTTACTTTTGCCAATAAGATATTTTGAAAAATCTGAAGCTATCATGCGTGGAGATAAAGGTAGTCTTGAAGTTGAATACATGAGTGGACATCACGGGGTCTATTCGGGGCCAGGTTTTGAGTATTATTCAATGGTTTTGGTGGTTAAAGGAGTTACTATGGAAATTGAGAGAATTCTATCCATTTTAGCAGCCATGGATTTGTCAAACAACCAATTCCGAGGATCAATTCCAGAAATAGTTGGAAAGTTCAACTCACTCAAACTTCTTAACTTTTCTAACAACATCCTTAGTGGTCATATTCCATCATCATTGGGAAATTTGACAAAACTTGAATCATTGGATTTGTCTTCAAATAGGCTTGTTGGAGAGATTCCCAAACAGTTGGCAAGTTTGACATCTCTTGCAGTGTTAAATCTTTCATACAATCAACTTGTGGGACCTATACCTGAAGGATCTCAATTTAATACATTTTCAAATGATTCATACATTGGAAACTTGGGATTGTGTGGATTTCCAATGTCGACAGAATGTAGCAGTGATAAGCCAATTGAACCACCATCAGCAATATTTCCTGAAGATGACAATGATCCAGGCTGGTTTGATTGGAAAATCGCCATAATAGGTTATGGAAGTGGGTTGGTGATCGGTTTGTCTATTGGATATATTGTATTTACAACGAGGAAACCAGAATGGCTTATAAGGATGGTGGAAAGAGAGGGACCAGCCAATGTGAGAAGCTTGAACAGAAGACACCGAGGAAGAAGAAATCCATAAGTGCAAGAAGCCAAGAAGTGTTTGCGCCTCATTATAAGGTAACTTGTTATATTCAAATATTAACTAACAAATTAAACAAATGTAAAACCATAAGAATTTTAATTGACTTTGTTCTGGGCTTCTTGGAATCACCATTCACTTTGGTGATCATTCATAAGGATATTTTTCTCATACTTATAAATTACTTTCAGTTATTTTAGAAATTTAGACGTGCCAATTAAGTTATCTAAATTTTAACCACAAGTATTAAATTGTTCTTTTTCCATCTTTCTGAAACTATAATCATTTTATTCTGAAACTATAATCATTTTATTTTTCAGACTTGAAGAGTTGATAACATATGGAATTGAAGTCTTTGGTGGAAGAGTGCAAGAAAAGTTAATCTACAAGTCTTTTGCATAAATAGGGAATCTTTATGTATCATCTTTATTAAGTTTGTGTGTTAGAACAGCAAGCAATTATATATGTTTGAATATTCTATTTTGAATTCATGTCCTTTAAACTAAGACTTACAGATTTTCTTGAAAAAAATTTATTGTGTTCAGAGAGTAACAGCAAAACAATGTAAGCTAGAAGTAGTTGTCTTGACACCAAGGAATTAGATGATGATATAACTGAAAAGACAACATAATTGTCATTACACTTGCATACGATTGATAAATATCTTAACATACTGATACAGGTTTTCATATCCATGATACAAATAATTGGGTACATTATAAAATCCTCAGCATAGAGCTAATGCCTGTATCTTACTCATGTCCACTTTAACATCTTTCATCTGCCCCTACCCTACCTAAATCTCTTGGCTTTGTTATCATTTAGATGATTAAATAAAATATTAATATCTATTTTATTAGTGTTGTGAAGTTGTTGAATCTATCACTCAATTTTGTAACGATTCTTTGATATTATTTCCATACTATCCTAATGCTACTAAAATAATGAATTGAAATCCAATACTAAAACATTAATTATAAAATAAGAAATCAAAACAGTAATTCTTGAAATAATAAATTTAGTTAGTTTCAACATTATGACTATAGTTGCTTCTCAAATAGCCGATCAAAGGGTGAAATCTTCGGTATAGAATATTTAGATACGGCAAAAGTCTATTTGAAAATACCTTTCCATAAACTAAGATACAATTTAAGAATCTAAGTTGGGCTAAATTAGTATCCAAAAGATGCTTTTTGATACTAATGATAATGGTCTTGGCATTTACATTGAATCAATTTAAATAACTTGACCTTGGTTAATAAACTCCAAAAGTAGCTACTTATAATAATATAAAATTGCAAAGAAATCCTCTAAGTGGAATAGATTTCCAATGATCAAATCATATTCATGGGGCAGAGGCAGAGCCCACCAAATACTACTAAATTTGTTTTCTTGAAGAGTAATGTTACGTCATAATCTTTTGCAAACTTCTCTTATAAATTCTATGTGGCAGTTGAATTGGGTTGTCACGTCAAATGATTTGAAGAAAAGACCGTTCTTTATGAAAGAATGATTATTTTTATGAAGGAATTGTTATCCTCACAAAGAAATGACCGTTCCTTATAAAGGAACAATCAAAGGAATGACTTACCTTGAGAAACAACCAAAGAAAGGTTGTTCTTAACAATCGTTCCTTCTAAAAGAACGACCGTTTGTTTCTAGTAAGTTTTGGTGCCTAAGTGTAGTGGGACTAGGAGTGACGTGATACGGTGATAGTGCCATCTGCTATCATGTTAGGGATGTAAGAAAATGCTATGAGATTGGGATATAAATGTAACATTTTCTTTATTGAATATGACATTCCCTTTTCTCTTCCACATTATAAATTTGTTTAAAGGGCCACAATAAAGTATTGGGCCGATACCGGCCCAATATGGTCACTAATGTGGCTCATAGATATTGGGCTTAAAATCCGTTTTTTTGGGTTGTTTGTTCTTTTTAATTTCAAAGAAAAATACAAAATGATATTTCGTAATCATGTCCTTCAAATTGTCGACATGTCTCTATCAACAATTGAAAGCAAATCTTAACAAATATCAAACACTTCAATAATGTCGGCTAATGTTAACAGAGGGACCATTATGTGAGAAGAAAAAAAGCAGAAACAATTACGCTTAAATTTTATTTATTTAATTAAAAAAGAAAAATAGAAGAATAGACCAACTTATAAGTATTTTAGTCATGTATGTCAGTAATATAGCTAATTGATTATTAATTACGTATTAGCATAACAAAGGGAAATTGCGATGTATTATTACATTAAATATATTATTACAATAAATTTGAAATAATAATACTAATAAAATTATAAAAAAAATGACTCCATTAAATAGCACGTTTATAATATTTAGAGATCTCCAAATGACTCTTTATATAAAGACTCTATTCATAGATACAAGAGTCAACAAGCTTTTTATCTTAAAATATATTATAGGGTGAGTTTGACTCTCACCTTAGAGAGTCAAATTATATTATTCTAATTTAATTAATAAACTACAAGTTCCTATAATTTTATTTATTAATTTTATCTTTTATTAAGTCATTTTTCTAAAAATAAAGAACATCTTTATTAAAATCAAAGAGTCTATTGGATTTGAATAAAAATTATATCCTTTATATTTAAAAATTATGAAAATATTTTTTTTATTAAATTCAAAAAATCTATTAAATTGAATAAAAAAATATATTTTTATATTTAAAAATATATAAAAAATTTTTTATTTATATAAAAATACTATTTAAAATATAGAGTATTATTAGAGATTCTTTTGCACGTAAAGTCAAGGTATACCACGCGGCCGTTTGGAAATCTGTACAGATTTTAAATAGCTTTCGTTATGACAATTGAGCATGACAACTTAATAGTTTTTTATATCATATGATTTTGATTAAATAAATGAAGAGGGGTCAGGTCAATTAGATCATATGTTAAAAATCAAATCAACATGTTTGACAGGCCCCTACAACATGTGTCTAACCAATCATAATCCTGTGCATGTGGCACATATCATTACAGCTATGATCTTAATCAACGTAATTCAATAATTATAATAATATGACACTGTTAGATGATGGTATTGGTAGCGAAGCAAAAGTTGTGTGGGTCATAATTATATTAATTATAGCATAATCAGATTGACATTTAAATTGTAATGCTTTAAAGATTAGGCAAGCAATCGTTTGCTTTTATGTCTTAACTCGCTTAGATTGATTGGTTCAAACTTTAATTAGAAGAAATATTTCTTTCCAATATTCGTATTATATAGTACTCCTCTAATAGGATGTTAAGATTCCTAAAAAGTCCATTTAGGAGTTTCATGTTAGCAATTTGAGAGTAAATCACTAAAACAGTTTTAAACAAAATCATCGTAGCGGTTTGAGAGGTCTTTAGTCAGAGTTTTTAAAACACTTAACTTGTGATTGGGAGTTCATTTTCAACGGTTTTGACAGTTTTTAAAATGAAAATTATATATATGCCCATAAAAATACGTTAACTACAACCAGTATTTGAGAGTTTTGTTTTTTCAATTATAAGGTAAAAGTTCTTCATTTGTTTTCTATTTTGTTAGTATTTTTAACTAAATGTGATAAAGTCCTATCCCTTCTCGTTATTTAGTATCCGGAATGATTGAAAAAAAGTAACTCCACTTCTTCAAGAAACTATATAGAAATATGATTTTATAATTTTTTTATGACTGCTAAAATGATTTTATATTTAATATGGTTAAAGACGTACATAATATAGTTAAATTCTTTTTGAATATAATTGGAATAGTTTGTAGTGGATACGGTATTTGTGAAATAAAAATTTTAAAACGAATCAAAATACTCTGAATTGAAATATTTTATAAACTCCTAAAAATATACTATACTAATTCAGAGGGATTTTAAACTAGTTAAAATTAGTACATAAAATTTCTAACAAATAATAATTTTGAAACAATTCAGACCAACCTAACTAAAAACCTTCCAAAACTAGCAAACAAAAAACTTCAGCAGATCCTAAAAAATCTTTTTATCAAATTAAAAGATTCGTAATATTATTTGCTTTCGGAATTCGGACACGACTAAAAAATATTACTTTCTCGCGGCGGCCTGGCTGTGTCAATATCTCGTGATTGATGTATAGAGGTAAGCATGAGAAGGAATATAAATTTAAGGTGAAAAAGTAAAATATCACAATCCCCAAGCGAGAAGAAAGACAAACAAAAGGGTATTTTGGTGATTCGTGTAAAAATGTGGAGTGTCGAGCGATACGAGGGTAAGCACATGCCTCGCTTACCGTGCTGCAATTATAGCCTCTTGTTTTTGTGCTCTTCCACTACGTGTCATTCTTTTTCTTTATATTTATGTAAATTAGTTTTTTATTTTATTAGTATTTAAATACAAATGCTTTTCATAAATGGTTTATTTTTTTAAATGTAAAAATTAAAAGGTTTTTAATGGGTTATTAAGTTTAATAAAGTTGAAATTATATTTGCAAAATCGTATAAATCTAACGTCAACACAAAATCATTTCTAACATAAAATGGTTATTAACATATTATTAACCATAAAATGAAAACATAAAATAAATTCAAAATATAACAATAATTTAACCGTAGTAATAATAATAATATAATAAATGGTTATCATGCACCTAGACACAATTTATTTAACTATGCTTGAATATATATACTGTATTTATAAGATTAAATATGATTTATATTGTAAATTAAAGAAGAAAAAAGGGAAAAAACAAAAGTGAAAAGAAGAAGAAGAAGACGCCACACCAATCAATGTCTTGTTGGGTTGGAGCAAAGAGTGTGTACCGTAGACGCAGAGGCTGAGTGCCCATAAATAAACCCTGAATCTTGTAGAGTAGCTTTGCGAATTGAATTTTATATACTTTCCGAATATCCTTTGTTCTCTTTCTTTCTCTTTTCTTTTCTCTTCTTCATAGGATAAGAGGAAGGGAAGAAGGGAAGAGAAATAGGGAAAAACCCAACAATATACAGCTA